ATAACATTGTACAAGTGTGGCAAATAACAAATAATTTTATGTTAAAAATATTGGTTTCTATTTTGTTACTATTTTTAAAGTACTACATGTGTGTATACACACACACACACACACACGTTTGAAATTTCTTGCATTGTCTAACATTTATACATAATATAACTATCAATTTAACATTGTTAACGTTTAGATTATAAACTTTGGCATGATTTGGATTTCATTATATTATATTCTGACAGGCCTATAAGTCATGTGGCAAGATTTTTATTTTGTATAGGGACATATGTCATTTTATGAAAAAATCTCTTCAATATCAAGCCAATGAAACAGAAAGAAAAGTTGCAAACATGAAGTGAAATACCATTGTCACCGATTATAATAATCAGTGGCCGTGGTGTTTCAAGTTATTTTTACATTGTTTCCAGTTATAGCTGATACCATCACCTTGACAGAAAAGTCAGCACTCTGTTAATATTTTGTTTTATATTTACTTCTTTATAAAATCTTCTGTTACAATTATTAAGCTTAAGTATGTATACCTAATTCTATTTTCCTCAATCTTACTTGTATCAGACATTATTTCTAGGCTATAATTCTTTGGTAGAAGACAATTGAACCAAATTGGAGCAGAAATGACATAAATATAAATGATAATTACTTAATGAAGATTTGTTTTATTTATCTTAAAATTTCTTAAATTTAATTTTGTATCTGTCTACTTACTTTATTTTACATTGTGTTTCACTTATTAAAAAAAAAAAATCTGAAATACACTGCATTTATGTCCAGTGTAAGGGAAATAAATCCGTGTTACTGTATATTCTTGTGTATCATGCAACTTTGAAGACCTAATTTTGAAGCTAATTTGTCTACAGTAAATGGATATATAATTTGGTCAATGGCATAGCTGATTTTATATCTCATGTATGATGCAACCCCCTTAAAATTAGCTTCAAAATTAAGTCTTCAAAAGTTACATGATATGCGAGTATATACGATATATAAAAATTGTTTGGAAATGCCAAATCCAACTAAACTCCTAATATCCCAAACATATTAAATAAACTTTTGTACAATAATAAAATAGTACCCCATACCATTGAGATGAGTGTCATTTCCTTAATATATAAAATACCTTTTCATATATTTGAATCAAGCTAAATTTATTGCAAGGACACATTTCTGATACAGGACTGAAATGAAAATGCTTTTTCCTGGATGATGATTAATTTGAGTCTAGAGTTTGGCTGCATCCTTACCTGCTCATTGATACAGGTGAAAAATAAGCAGCTGTGAATATAGAGAAGTAGCACAACATTGAGAATGATGTCAGGTATTTATAATCCTTTAACCCATAGACAAAATGAGATCTAATAAGAGTGGTGAGAAGTAGCCAGTTGCATAGACTATGTAATCAGGAAGTTTTGCCCTAAATGACATCATCAGGGCATGTGACCATACAAGTCAAGAGGGGCTATTATAAAATAAAGAAAGCTTATGTTAATTCACTAAGAACAATTTCTGTTGCTTATTTGAGATATGTCTGCAATTATGCATCACTCTGAATTTTTAAGGGAAATATTATTTATAGAACTTGATAAAAATTATAGAGCAGAGTAGTATTCATAATAAAACTATGAAAAACAATCTGTACACATTTTAGTCTTTGATTTATAATGCTATTAAAGATTTTGCCCATTAAAGTAATACCAGTTTTAAAAATTCTGTAGAACATTCCAAATGCACAAATAATCAAGGAAGTCTATCACTCACTAGAAGGTTATTTCACAAGGAACAGAAAGGATGATAAAAGTGACCAGAGGTATCAGTGATTTATTATACATTGATCAAAACATATTGAAAAAAGCTAAAATGAGGAAGAAGAATCTTGCTGTAACATAGACTATAAAAAGGCTTATATTATCACACAACACTAGATAATAGAATGCCTGAAAATTTAAAAAATCTCAAGTCCACTTCATAATGAAAGTAATGGCAAATTGGAAAGTTGAACTGCATGAGGGGGACATTACTTAACAGGTCAAAATAAAGAGGTATCTTCCAAATAGACTCAATTTCTCCCACTACTATTTGCACAAGCACTAATTGCACTGAATTTATATATTAAAGAAAAACAATTAAGGTAACAGATTCATAATGTTGCAAGAAAAAGTGAACTATCTCATGTACATGGATGACCTAAAAAATTGTCAAAAACAAGAAAGTGCTGGAATTTATCATACAGTCTGAATCCTTCAGCCAAGTTATAGAAATGAAACTTGGCATGTGCACAGAAAGGAAATAGAAATAAGACAGATTAGAATAATCCAACCAGAAAAATCATAAGAATGCTCAATAGGTAGGAAAAATTAAAAGTACCTGAGTATTTTCAAGGTAGTACCATTAAACAGAGGTGAAGGAAAAAGTCAGCAAAGAATAATTCAGAAAAACAAGAAAAAATATCAGATGATTTTCTGTAGGAGAAACTTAAAAGAATCAATATTTGGACAGTTTCTGTTGAGAAATACTCTGATTCCTCCTTAAAATAGACAAGAGAGGAACACAGAAACCTGAGCCACAAAACAAAGCTAATGACAATGCAGAAAGTGCTCTACCCAAATGATGATGTCAATATGCTGTATGTTAAAAAATGAGGAGGAGGAAAACTATTTTGTATTGAGATTTGCCAGCACTCTGCAATTTAGAAACTCAAAGATAACACAGGACAAAATAAGAAAAAATATTTACAACCAAAAACTAAAATGAACAGAAAAACAGGATATGCAACAATGAGAACTCAAAAATAGGAAAAAAAAAAAATTATATTGCTAGTTTACAAGACAAATCAAAGAAATGACAGATAAATTTATATTAACATGATGACATAATTTCTCTCTTAAGGTTTCCACTGACTTGGTCATAATAGCAGCCCAAAACAATACTATGATAAATGATTATATAAAGGTCAACATTAGATAAAACACAGAACAGTATGGATTGTGTTGGAATAAAGATGAGACAGTAAATTAAATAATCAGTGAATGTATTAAATTAGTTCAGAAAGAATACAAGAATAAGAATGACTAGATGGGAAAGATGATCCACTGGAAATTGTAAACAACTGCATTTTGGCCATAGAAATCAGTGATATATATGCAGACCAGAATCTATTTTAGAAAATGGAATTTACAAAATTCTCTCGGTGTATGAGATTCGAATGGATTACCCAATCCAGGTCAGAAAACCAGGTTTAGTAATGGTACATTTGAATAAAACATGGCAGATAATGGAGTTCCCTGTTCTGGCAGACCACAGATTAGATGTGAAAATAAAAAGATATGTAAGTATATTTATCTTACCTAGAGAACTGAAGACATTGTGGACCATAAAGGTAACTGTCATGCCAGTTATTTTTGGATGCTGGGAACAGTCCTGAAGAGCCTAGGAAAAAGACTGTAGAAACTGGAAATTAGAGGCAGAGTTGGAACTATTATGATAAAAGCATTATTGAAAAGACCTAGAATATTGAGAAAGCTGTCACTTAATCCCCAGTATAAACCACCAGTTACTATTGATGTTAAAATACAGTGAGATGTAGATGATAATATATTTTTTTAATAGATATATTTATCAATTTGGCAAAATCAAAATGCTATGCTGGCACCAGGTTTCATATTGTGATAAAGCAATATTTCCATTTTATTTATAAGTTGGTGCATGTATGCTGTCCCCATTCTTATCAAATTGTTGTCAGCTTGCTTGTAAGATAATGGTGAAAAGTTATAAAATTTTCAGATGAGACTTGGAAATTCATGAAATTGCATAGTTCTTGGATATTTTATTACTTTGATGAATCTAATTAAAATTTTATTTATTGGGGAATGGAGGAGATTTATTTTTCTTCAAAAATATCTGAGGTGAAGAAAAATGCCAAGAAACATTATTTAACAATTTGTAAATTCTTGAAAATCAGATATTTGAATGAATTCTAATGTAAGAATTTTTTTATGTGTGATGAGGCAAACTGAGAAGGGAAATAATGTGATGGCTGTAACTGGTTACAAGAAATAAGAATGTGATTTGGTGTAACTATTTATTTTCATTGAATTGATGATTTTCAATAAATCACATTTAAAAACTTCTTCAAATAATAAAAATTAAAATATAATGATCTTGTTGTGTATAACTCAGATGAAGTGTGTGTGTGTGTATATATATATATATATATATATATATATATATATTTCTTTGTTTCCATTTTCTGGCATTTTTGAAAATCTTCACATGCCTTTGTTGCTTTCATATTTTTTCCATGTCATAAGTTTTATCAAGTTGCTTTTTATTTTTTCTGGATAGGTATGCATGTTGAGAATAATTTTTATTATTATTTATTTCTCTTAATATTACATTTTATTGCTTTTTACTTTCATTAGGCTCTTTATAACTATTTTGGTTGTTGCTTAAAGGCGCCGTTCTCACATTCACTGTGACAAAATTAAGCCTGCAGCCTATTCCACTTTTCATATTCATGTTCTTTTATTTCAACACAAAAACTGCTATCCTTTCCTCTTGTTTAAATGATTTTTTTTTGTTTTTAATCAAAAATTTTTCAAATTATCTAAAGATTTTCATTATTTTGAATTTCTTCATTCTCTCTAGAATTCTTATCTTTGCTTGCATCTGATTTTTGCAAGAACATAGCTAATAAATTAACATTTTCTTTTCCCCACAAATGGTTGCTGCAATTTCATCACAAATGAAATTTGAAGTTATTTTTCATTTTTTATTTCACTTGATCAAGCTCTTCATTTACTTGAAATATTAAAGACTTTTTTCTTCAAACTTTGTTTTCTCTTATTGTTTATCCATATAAAAAAAAAAATAAGTCCACAACACTTGTCCTTGGAATTAATTTTATGGCCTCTTTCTTCTTTGTGTCTTTGAAATTAATTTTATGACCTTTTTGCTGTATCATGCAATTTTTGAGTATTTTCTTTTTTCAGGCCAAGCGAAAGTATTTGAGTGCCTCGGCCGTGACATCTTGGAATTGGCCTATGAAGGTTATAATGGCTGTATTTTCGCATATGGACAAACTGGTAAGTATTGGCATTCCTTTTTTGATCATTTATTCCTTGTTATTTTTACATAGTTTATGTATCACTCCTTTTGTAAATAATTATGACTTGGAAAGTAATTTCTTGTCAAGTTTTGAATGTTCATCAGATGTGCTACGATGCTTTTAATAGTTATAGTAAAATCATTGTATTATGAAGTAAATAAAATCATACATAATGCATTCTTGAAAAAAGTGTTTATATGAAGACTGAAAACAAATTGAAGAGGTTGTGTGTTCAGCTTACCATAAATTTGATAAACATTGAACAGAAGCAGATCCTTTTTTTAATGTTGAATTGAGAATGTTTTGTACGCAAGTTTCTAAAGACATTCTTGAATTTTTATAATTTGTTTTGTATTTAGATTAAGTTGTTTTTGTGTATGTTGATATAATCTGAGTAAATTTAAATTATATCCATTTTCAGTTGACTTAAGCAGATTTTAGTGTATAGAATATGGGATATTATATATATATATATATTACTTACCTTTGATGGGTTCACATTTATAAGAGGTATAAATGCATTTGAGGACTCCTACTTTGTTCCATAAGGCTGTTTAAGCTAATTTTGATAAGTCTTTTCTCATGATTATTTTAAAGAATAGCTACAATTTTTTTTTTTAATATTTTCTACTGTTTCTTCATTTAAAGACTGATAAAGTTTTGAATCAGAATTCATTATCATTCTATATAACCTGAAGGAATGGTAGTTACAGCAGTGTCTGGTTATTTCCATTGTCTAATTCCTAACTTGGTAATCAAAAGTTCTTGAAATGTTTTTTTTTTTTCTGTGAATTGCTTAAGTTCAGTCAGAGTTGAGTGTGTCACCCACTCAAGTTTTAAAAAAGTGAGGTAATCACTTTTCAAAGGGATCTCTGCAGGACTGAAGTAGCTCATTACTTGATATTATGAGCACACCTTCTTTTCTAAGATATTTTTAAAAATGAACTCTTTTCATTAGAGGAATTTTATAAACACCTTGAAGATTTGTCGGTAAAAATGTGGATTCTAACAATTTGAGATGATTGTGTAATCTAATAGTTAAATTTATTTTTTACTTTACATTCTATTTCTGAAGCTATCAAGTTGACTTTCAAGTAATTTTCATAGACAAATTTTGAAATGTTTTATGAAGGAAAAGCAGTCATTATTTTCTTCTTTTAGCAAATATGTTTATCTTGTAAAATTATCAACTTAACAGTTTAAAGACTTTATTTTTAAGCATTGCACTTTAAGTTGGGCTATTTTATTTGTCCTTATATCTAATCAAGTGACATTAATAAGTCTTATTTTATCATTGTTTCATTTCAGAAATATAAATATAGATTAGATGTTTAATAAATTCCATTTCATTTTCTCTACTGAAACACCTAGGGAAAATCAAACTCTGTACATAAAGGAATAGTTTTTAATACTTGTTAACTGTTGCTTAATGACAGGCACCTGTATGTGGATGTATAGCAAATTAAATGTTCCAAAGCATTTATCATCAAATGAATAAATTTAGAGATTTAATTTCTATTAAGAATAGATGATTAGAATAAAAAAATTAAAGAAAAAGCAAAAATAGGAATGTTAATTAAAACTTCATTGAATAATAGACTGTACTGTTTCTTTGCTTCTAAGTTTTACAAAATTTGAAAAAATTCTCTTATACAGTTGTGGAAACTTGTCATAACATTCTGGCTTTGTTAAGAAACTGCAATTTGCAGAGTTTAATGGGAATTAAACTTCTTGATTTTCATAGAAAGTTCAATGTAGCAAGAAAAAAGAAAATTCCTCTCTTGGGGCATTGTTGGTCATGTCAAACATTTTGGCACCTGTTTATAATGAAAGCATTAAAAAGGAAGCAAATTGTTCTTCTAAGTGTGAAATTCTCAGTTTAGAAAACATTTTGATGATTGAATTTTTGCAAGAAGGTTGGCGACAGTTTCATTATTGTCTAACTTTAGGGTATGAGAAAATACTTCAAGGTTGTACATGTGGAATAAATTGGTTTTCAGTTGTCTCCAGCATCTATATTGGTGTCAGTGTTTTCTGTTCTCAGAATGATCAACATTTTCAAAAAAGAAAAGTTTACAATAATGGACAGCCTCATTGTTTTGAGTCATGTTGTCTCTTACTATGAAAGTTATGTTTTCCACACACCTACAAGGTTTTTTGGTTTTTTTTTGGTTTTTTTTTTATATATAGATTTGAAATTTATATGCTTTAGCTTTTTAATACAAAGTTCTTAATAGTTTATGGTCTTGGTAACCAAATCTGGCAATTAAATTTGAATTTGATTATTTTACCAGGTTAATCATTCAAAATTATATTGACTCTTTAAAAATAATATAGCACTGAGTATTTGAAATACTTTTGTACAAACATATAATTTCTATGAAGTATATTCTGTATTTTCTATTGTAAATAGAGTGTAAAATAATCTCTTGTTGATTCTAGGGGTTACTGCAGATGTTAACAAATTCAAGGATCCTTGTTTTAATGCTGAAATAAATTATATGAAAAAAGTAAAATTTTATCTACAAAGTATTTTAAAACTAATGTAAAGAATATTTTGATTGATATATTTTTTGTAAAGTTTTTCTGTTTGTATATGAGAAAAATATAAATTGCACTAAGAATAGCAACATAGAATACATGAAACATTTTGATGTACAGGGTGCTCCAAAAGTTGCATTACCATTGATAACCTTGTAAATTTTATATTTATTTACCAAACAGAATCATGTTTCTGTATGTGACAATATATTATTAAGAAATTTTATTAGTCAAATTATAGAAGATGATGTCATGCATATTTTTCCCTGGTTGCTATTTCACAAGTGTATGTTTTCTGCCAATTGTCGTATAACTTTTGGAATACCATGTACTTTGTATGCATTATGATTCAGAATAAAACCCTTGCATTTAAATTATTATGTTCACTAAGAACAAACAATGACCATATCACTTGAACATTGGTAGTATTTAAAATATATGACGTGTTTGGTGGAGGATATGCATATTCAACAAGAAATCAAAAACTGCTTTTTTCACTGCAAATTATTCATTATATCATATCCAAGTATTTTACAAAAAATTAGAGCAAATGACACAATATTTCAAGCTCAATTTAAGTTTATAGTTTGTAACCATGAAATGAGATGAGGTACATAAACTGTAGATTTGTCTGCAGAATAGCATTACATTATTGTTGCATAATTATAGTAAAAATAATTATATTTTATTAAAGGCATTTTATTTTTGGTTGTATATTAATTTAGAATATTCTTTTTTACAGGCTTTATTTTTGAAATGGAATAAGATCATTCTAAATTTCAGAATTTCGCTATTGCCCATCAAAATGACTGGAAAAAAGCAATTTAAAAACAACAATGAAAAAGAGTGGAAACAAAGCGTAAATGAAATAGCTCTGGTTTGTTCAATTTAGGAAACTTAGCATTGCAGCCAAAGTATTCTAAAATGCTGCCAATAACAAAGGAGAAAATGAAAAATACCTAACAACAAAGTTGAATATAGAACCAAAATTTATATTATTTTTATTGATTTTTTATATAACTAAATACATAATTGTCAACAATGTTCCCATAAAAGTTGATATTTCCTGTAATAAATTCTTAATAAATATTATTATTGTTATTATTTTGCTTAAGTGTAAGGTAGTCCTACATTTACAATTCTTTACAGCTAACCATGAAAAGAAATGCTGATCAAAACTGCCTAAAACCTTGAAGCGAGCATTGCCGCAAAATTATCAAATGTTGAATACACCCCTCCTCCTCCAAGTGTGTCATATAACATATGAAAAAAGATCTTGGTGAATGATTTTTGCATTAAATTAGGAAATATACAAAAATGTGTAAGTCAAATTTACTAGAATGCATTTTTAATAATAGCAGACATATTTCATTACTTTAGGCACTTTCATATGTTATTTTTTTATAATTGATACAATCTTTTATGAATTTTAATTTTTAATTCAAAATATTTTAAATTGAAAGCATTACTTGCCCAACTACAAAGCCATTTTAATTGTGAAAATTCGTTTTTAATAAATGGAATATAATAAACAAAGTTAAATTATGAAGACAATGAAGGATTGATTTTTATGAGTATTGAGCTCTTTAAATGGATTTGAAATGATTCTTAAGCTGTTACTTGAAATATATAAGTAGAATTAGCAGTAAGGTTTTTGAAAATATTCTATTATCCTAAAATAGAAATAAAATCTCTAAGGAATAAAAGAACTTGGATTGACTATTGCACCCTGTGGTGATGTGCAAATGAGATGCTTTATAAGTTGGAAGAGTTCTACACTCGGGAGGTAGTTATCTCCCCTTGATTACATTGTTTATTTGTGAGGAACTGTACATGACACAACAACATGGCATTGCAAATTGGATATCTAACCTCATTAGAGGATCAGAGCTTGTGGAGATGAGGTTGAGATGTTTCACGGATTGGAAAGAGTCAAGAAATTGAGTGACAGCAAAAATAGAGGAGGAAAAAATGAAGTAACAGATTTATTTCTAGCATCAGCAGGGTTGCAAGGCCATGAAAAAAATATCTGTAATGGCATATCTGAAGGTGCTAGAAGACTTGACATTTGAAGAAATTGCCAACATTGTACAAACAAATGTACATCTGAAAAAGTAACCAGTGATAGCTGAGAGGATGAAATTTCTTAAAATCAAGCAAAACCTGGATGAAACCATTAGACATATTCACAAGCTAAAATAAGCATCATGGTACTGTGAATTCGAAAAGTTGAGTACAGTACTGATGTCTATAGAAGAGGAATTAATACAGTTAAGGCTAATTGAAGGACTGTATGACATCTTGAGTAAGTAGAAAATTTTGGAACAGCTTCAAGTATAGAACATGAATGTTGAAATGAATTTAAAATTTTTACATCAGCTAGAGTTAATTCAGAGATTTAATACTCCTAAGACTAACATGTAGACATACAGTACT